CCTCCTCCTCCCTCCCCCCCTCCTCCACCTCCTCCTCCTCCTCCTATTCCTCCTCCTCCTCCTCCTCAGATTCCTCCTCCTCTTCCTGAGGAGGAGTCCTCCTCCTTCTCCTCCTCCTCCTCCTCCTCCTCCTCCTCCTCCTCCTCCTCCTCCTCCTCCTCTTTCTCTCATCATCATCATCATCCTCCGCCCTCCTCCTCCTCCTCCTACTCCTCCTCCCTCCTCCTCCCTCCTCCTCCTCCTCCTCCCTCCTCCTCCTTCTCCTCTGTCCTCTTCCATCCTCCTCCTCCTCCTCCCTCCTCTTCCCCCTCTTCTTCCTCATCCTCTTCCTCGTCCTCTTCCTCATAGTCCTATTAGTTGTCATCGTATTCGTCGTATGTTCAATACTATTCGGCTTATTATCAGTCCTGTGAGCATGATTAGGATTAGTATTAGTCGTGATGTATGCATGATTCTTCGTACTATTGATCGTAATAGTCCTAGTATTACCAGTACGATGACTACTGCTTCCCATCTTATCCTTAGTAGCACCAGTAATATTAATAGTCTGCCGATGAGTGTTCAGATTCCCCTTGCTCCTCGTCGTCTTACTCTTCGTATTACCATTCGTATTGTCTGCACTATTATTAGTGATCTAATGTCATGATTATGACGCTGGTGATTATACGTATGTTTATAGTAGTACCATTCATTCGTAGTATTATGCATATTATTAATTTTGTTACGATGATGATTAGTACTGTTTTGATGAGAAGTATAAACATTAGTTATGTGAGTACGAATATTATAATAATATTATTAGTAGTGTATGTAGTAATAGTAGTAGTAGTAGTAGTAGTAGTAGTAGTAGTAGTAGTAGTGGTGGTGGTGGTAGTGGTAGTAGTAGTAGTAGTAGTAGTAGTAGTAGTAATAGTGGTAGTCGTGGTAGTAGTCAGAGTGCTAGTAGTAGCAGCAGCAGTAGAAGTAGAAGTCGTAATCGTAGTCGTAGTAGTAATCGTAGTAGTAGTAAGTAGTAGTAGTAGTAGTAGTAGTAGTAGTAGTAGTAGTCGTAGTAGTAGTAGTAGTAGTAGTAGTAGTAGTAGTAGTAGTAGTCGTAGTAGCAGCAGTGGTAGTCGTCGTAGTAGTAGGAGTAGTAACAGTAGCAGTAGTAGTAGTGGTAGTGGTGGTAGCGTAGTAGTAGTAGTCGTAGTCGTAGTCGTAGTAGTAGCAGTAGTAGTAGTAGTAGTAGTCGTAGTAGTAGTAGTAGTAGTGGTAGTAGTAGTAGCAGTGGTGGTGGTAGTAGTAGTAGTAGTAGTAGTAGCACTAGTAGTAGTAGTAGTAGTAGTAGTAGTAGTAGTAGTAGTAGTAGTAGTGGTAGTAGTAGTAATAGTAGTAGTAGTAGTGGTAGTAGTAGTAGTAGTAGTAGTAGTAGTAGTGGTAGTAGTAGTAGTAGTAATAATAGTAGTAGTAGTAGTAGTAGTAGTAGCAGTAGTAGTAGTAGTAGTAGTATCATCATCATCATTATTAGTAGTACTATTCCCTACCTAGGCTCTGCCTAGAGGGTTCTTACTCTCTTTCTTAAGGGGGCCGGGCAGTGCAACTCGCCCCGGGCGGTTCCCCCAGTCCCCGCCCCGCGGTTCCCCCAGTTGCGCCCCCTGGGTTCACCCAGCTTAGCTTAGCTAAACTTAGCTTAGCATAGCTAAGCTGAGCTTATCTCATCTCAGCTTAGTTTAGCTTAGCTTAGCCTAGCTTAGCTTAGCTTTGCCTAGCCTAGCTTAGCTTAGCTTAGCGTAGCTTAGCTTAGCTTAGCTTGACTTAGCTTAGCTGAGCTTAGCTTGGCTTAGCTTGGCTTAGCTTAGCCTAGCCGAACTTAGCTCAAACTTAGCTTAGCTGAGCATAGCGTATCTTACCTTAGTTTAGCTTAGCGCAGCATAGCGCAGCGCAGCATTAGCACAGCATAGCATAGCCAAGCACAGCATAGCAGAGCATATCATAGCTCAGCTTAACATAGCATAGCATAGCGTAGCATAGTTGCGGAAGGGGAACCAGTCACGGCGATATGTGTACTACTGGTTATTCGACACAGTCCCTGCGCGCCAAGAGTGGCTCCGGCGACTCCACGACAGCGGGGAGGTTGTGGTCACACCATTCTGGTGAAATCGCAGATTCCAGCGCCGATGATGCACCGATCAGGGAGTTGCTGCTGCTGTCCAATTTCGTAGGAGAGCTCGGTGTCGCAAGTGCTGCACAACCTTGCTCAATGCCAAGTCGTGCGGTGTAGACCAGATACGGAGCATTCTCAAGCACACCCGGTGAGCGAATGCGAAAACATGCGTGTGTGTGTGTCTGTGCGCAGGCAAAGCAAAAACAAAATCAAACAAAAGCAAAAACAAAAGCAAAGCAAAAGCAACAGCAAAAGCAAAAGCAAAAGCAAAGGCAACGCAATGCAAAGCAAAAGCAAAACCAATGCGAAACTGTAGATGTAGATGTAGATGTCGGTGTAGGTGTAGATGTGGATGTAGGTGTAGATGTAGATGTGCATGTAGATGTAGGTGTAGATGTAGGTGTAGATGTAGATGTAGATGTGAGTCTCGCTGTTGATGTTGATGTAGATGTAGATGCAGGTGTAGATGTTAATGTAGCTGTCGGTATAGATGTAGATGTTGCCTTCCTAGATGCTCTAACTCCTAGGTAGGGTCGCACTTGGATAAGTATTGGTATTCGTATTATTCCTTCTCCTCCTCCTCCTCCTCCTCCTCCTCCTCCTCCGCCTCCGCCTCTGCCTACTCTTCCTCCTCCTCCTCCTCCTCCACTTCCTCCTCCTCCTCCCCGAGCGGGGGGGGGCCTCCGAGACCGCCCGCGCGCGCCACAGGTCGGAGGACCCATCGCTCTTGCTGGTCACCTGGGGCGGGGGCGCGCGCCTCTCCGTGCGAGCCCCCTCCCCCCCCCCCCCCCATCGGTGCCCAGGCCCCTCTCTCGGGGGAGGGCGGGGAGGGCGGCGGCGAGGAGGAACAGGAGGAGGAGGAGGAGGAGGAGGAGGAGGAGGAAAAGGAGGAGGAAGGAAGGAGGGGAAAGGAGGAGAGGAGGAGGAGGAGGAGGAGAGGAGGAGAAGACGAGGGAGGAGGAGGAGGAGGAGGAGGGAGGAAAAGGAGGAGGAGGAGGAGGAGGAGGAGGGTGGTGGAGGAGTAGGAGGATGGACTTGGTTGACGTGGGTTAGAGTTAAGCGCTAACTCCCATACGCTGCTGGAACGGGGACCGGACGAGAGCCTAGGAGAAGGAGGAGGAGGAGGAGGAGGAGGAGGAGGAGGAGGAGCAGCAGGAGCAGGAGCAGGAGCAGGAGCAGGAGCAGGAGCAGGAGCAGGAGCAGGAAGAGTAGGAGGGTGAGGAGGAGGAGGAGAGGAGAGGAGGAGGAGGAGGAGGAGGAGGAGGATGAAGGAGGATAACAGGAGCAAGGAGAGGGACGAGAAGGGAGCCAGCCAGGAGGCGGGCAAGAGGGGGAAGGGACAAGTTGTGTGCGCGCGCGATGTCTGACCATCCCCTCCCGCCCATCCCCTCCCATTGCGCTGGTCGGTGTCTGTCCCCAGATGGGTGTTCTGGCTGACCTGGCCCCTCCAAGTGGCACCATCGTGTGATGCGCCGTCCTGGATTCCAGTTCGCCGCCAGGGCGGCCTCAACGGAAATTCGAACACAACAAGTAAAACAAAACAACAACATATTATACAGTCCCTAACGAAATCGTCATTCCTCGGAACAGCAGCTCAGACATGCAGGTTTCGCAAAGAACTCTATTTGAGTGTCTTGATTTTGTTTTTTATATGTATAATTGTTTGTTCCCCTCTGAGCCTCCCTGGGGCCACCGCCCAGGATTTTAACTCGCCGCCTCCTGGGAAAATCTATGAATTAAGACATTAAGCCAATTAAAAAAACAGGAGATCGAGTCCGTAGAGAAATCACCCTTCCTTGGAACAACGGCTCAACAAGGCAGGTTTCGCTATGGACTCTTGTTTGTGTGTTGTACATACAGACAGACAGACAGACATACATACATAAATACATACAAACAAACAAACAAACATACATACATACAAACATACACATATAATTTCCCTGTGCCTCCCTGGGGCCACCGTCCTGGATACTAGCTCGCCACCAGAAGGGGGAGGAAATTGTTGTTTTACGAAGAAAAACATGTTTCTTTTGTTTTGCACCAAGAAGTTATAGCGAAAGCGCAATTCCTCCTCCTCCTCCTCCTCCTGTGTCAATTCCTCCTCGTCGTTCCCTCCCCCCTCCTCCTCATCCCCCTCCTCCTCCTCTTCCGACGACGACGACGACGACGACGACGACGACGACGACGACTGCGACGGGGACGGCGACGGCGACGACTTTGAATTTGAGATTGGTTACGCACGCTTCTGGCTGAGCACCACATCCGCAGAAGCTGACATCACCTCGGTCGCAAGGCAACGTTATGTGAGCTGCTGGGTGGAAAACAACGTACACGAAGCTTACAAAACTCTTCTCAAACTCAGAGTTGTGTCACCTTCTGGGTGAACACTGACATCAGTTTAAGTTTACATAACTATTGTCCTCCTCCCCCTCCTCCTCCTCCTCCACCGACGACGACGACGGCTGCGACGGCGACCACGACGGCGACGACTGAATCTGAGATGAGTTACGCAAGCTTCTGGGTGAACCCATAAATACACAAAAGCTGGCATAACTACTGTCGCAATGCAAAGTTATGTGAAATTTTGACTTGAAGACAACTGCACAAAGCTTACATAAGCTAGAACTCCTCCCCGCAAGGTTTTCCTTCGGCACTCAGGAAACCCTGGCAATGACGGAAGCCACAACGAGCGCGCACGAAGCAAGACGATTGCACTGCACACGAACGCAGGTTGGCTTCCAGGAGGCGCGGGGAGGAGGGTGGGTGACGGCTGAGGCCATTGCTCGCGTCATTGAAGCTTACAAGTCAAGCTAGAACTCCTCCCCGCAAGGTTTTCCTCCGGCACTCAAGAAGCTCTGGCAATGGCGGAAGCCACAACGAGCGCGCACGAAGCAAAACGATTGCACTGTACACGCATGCAGGCTGGCTTCCAGACCCACACCTCCACACAAACGAGTCATGGCATGTGTGTGCGCACCTGGGCCGTGAGGAGAGGCAACAATAAAAGCACTCAGATTTTGCCACGCTTGAGCCTGTCGATGGCGCGAGCGAGCAGGCCGGGCAGCGCAGCGGCGAAGCTTGCCACGAGCTGGCGCGAGGCCTGCGCCATGTTCGGCACGAACGCCACCGCGGCGACTTCCTGGATCTAAATCTCCATGGACTTGAGCTGCCCCCACCGCCCGCTCCACTGCGTGCGAGGCAAGTCCTCGCACCTCTGGAAAAAGAAGGTGGCGCCGCCGCCTGGGTGAGAGGCCGGCGTCAGGCCGCGGGCCTCCGTGGCCGCGACGCCGAAAAAGGACACGAGCGAATCATGGCAGCGGCGAAAGTGCGGGCCTGAGCCTCTGAAGATCCGCTGCCCTCTCTGCTGGCCCGCAGCCAGCCTCTCCAACAGTCTAACTAATATCGCCTCATCACATCTGGCGTGCCCCATCTGCGCCATAGCCCATCGGGCCCTGGGCTGGCGGACTCGCACGTTGCACGCCCCATCATCCGACATCAGCTGCGACGGCAGCAGCGAGTTCGAGAACCACACGCCATGCGCCTCGCCTGGTCGCAGCATGCAGGTGAAGGCCAGGAAGATCAGGACGGCCATGTCGGCCCAGCCCCAGCTGAGCGCCAGCGCCACCAGGGCGCGCAGCACCAGCACGGGGGCGGGGTACCGATGCCGCGTGGGCAGCGCGAACTGGCACGCCTACGCAACGTCCCACGCGGCGCCCATGTGCCTCCGCAGCGACCTCTCGACGCCCACCACTGCGTTGATGGTCTCGGTTTAATGCTTGAGGCTGCGGCCGCGGGAGTAATCACCTGGCCGCACGCCGCCGCGATGTTGGCGACCACCCGAGGCACTTACACCACCAGCGATGCCAGCTCGCAGCCACCGTCCAACTTCAGCAGCCAGCTCTCGAACTGCCGCAACAACAGCTGCCTCACATGTGCAGTCCGGGTGGTCGTCTGCGGCCTCATGCGAAGATCCACCGCCGGGCGCGCTGCCGAAGCCTCGCCTGCCACGCGAGCGCCATCCACCAGCAAGCATGCCACCAGGCCTAGCATCATCGTGATCGCTCGGGTTGATCGTCTCGAGCATGCGCTGTGGCAGGGGCCCTCTCCTGGAAAACCGAGGGCGCCGTCGAAGTCCTGCAGCCGCCACAGGCGCGCCAGCTTCACTGCCATGCGGCGCCACTCCGACTCAGCCCGCCGCTGTCTCGGAACACGCGTCCAATGGCCCAGCTCCGCGAGGTCTGCAGCGCCCGCTGCGGCCCACCAGGGCGGCGGGTCAGCAGATGGCGGGGCGATCGCTCGCCCGCGCGAAGGCCCATCAGCGGGAATCAGGCGCGCGGGCGCGAAGTCGCAGCCCGGGTGCAAGTCAAAACCCAGCACGTCGGGCAGCCCCGGCTTCAGCTCGTCATTGAGCGCGCGCGAGGCGGAACGCCCCTTGGCACGCGCTCCCAGCGCCACGGTGGAGTCCAGCAAGAACGGCTGCCTGGCGCCTGGCTCCTGCCTGGCCGCCGTCGCCCTTGCCTTCAGGCGCGCCCGCGCCTCCAGCTTGTCATGTGCACCGCGGTCGGGCGCGACTCGAAGGCGAAGGCGCGCCACCGACAGAAGCGGGCATGTCGTTGACGGAAGGCTGCTCCAGGCGGCCCGCGGAGCTGGCCGGAGTAGCGCTGGGCTCGGGCGCCGCCCCCGCCGCCTCCAGGCGCGCGGCCGTGAGCTCCGCCCAGGAGCGACACAGCTGCTCTGAGTAGGCAGCGGCGGGCGCCGTGCACGCGGCGCCCAACGGCGGGCGGCTGTGGGCCTTGCGCCCATGCACGCACGGCCGCGCCAACGGCTGCAGGAAATCGGCGCGCGCCAGCCCCGGCCTCGCGGGCTTCTGGAAGGGGGCCCCAAACGAGCAGGCTGCGAAGGACAACGTGCCGCAGTCGCTCTTGACAGCACCTGCACCGCGGGCGCGTGCCAAGTGCACGCTCCAGCTGGGTGCTCGAAAGACCCGCGCGCACCGTGCTTGCGCGCAGTCCCGAGTATCAGCAGCACCCTGAACAGCAACACGTTGCCCAGCCTGGCGGCCGCATCCGAGGCGTCGAACCCCAAGGGCCGCGACCGCGAGCGAAGGCGAGGCTGCCGGGCCAAAGAGAAGGTCGCACACGGCGGGGCACAGTGGACGTAGGACACCCGCTCGTTCACGATCAGGAACAGCATCCACTCGATGATCCTGGCGAAGCGCAAGTCCCACAACGGATGAGTTTTGGGGTCAATCTTCGGCCCCACCCTCAATCCCGCAGCTGCATGCGCTCTGGCCCACGGCGCGTCCCCCCCGCTGCAGACCTCCAAGGCGTCGAACACCTCCAGCAGGTGCCAGCGCGGCACCTTCGTGCCCGGGCGCAGCTCCTCATCGACGTCCTGCAACCGGGCCCTGTCCTCGAGGCGCTTGTGGGCACGGATGTACGCGAGCTCCTTGCAGTTCAGCTGCGTGCACCAACCTCGCTGGCCCCGATGGCGCTAGACCACGCGCGCGACGGGCTGCGCCACATCGGCCACCGCGGCCGCCATGTCCAGGTGCGAAGCGTCGTTGCACACCACCCTGGTCGAGCCCTTTGCCCTGAGGTTGGTCACCAGCGCGGGCGCGAGCATGGCCAGCAGCATCAGCTCCTGCCTCGCGCCGGCGCCCAGCTCGAACGCGCCGTCGTCGCGCGGCACCTCGGGCAGCGCACGGAATACCTCGTCCAGCAGGCACATGGCAG